CCCCAAAACCCCAAAACCCCAAAACCCCATGATTTAAATAAAAAGTAAAAAAGCAATTATAATTAGCTGCAATAAATCAAAAATGATAATATAATGATAATTTAAATTGTTAGTAACTTGAGTTCAGCTACTAAATGAAAGAATTTGTTATTAACTTTTAAAATTATATCTATGGAATAAAGCTTGCTCACATATAATCAAGCTAATGAATCCTCTAAGAATCAATAGCTGAAGATCAGGGATATCAGAAAAGTTACAGTAATAAAGCTTTCCAATCAAGGGACAAAGGCTTTAAATGCTGCAACACCTCTATCTATTTCTAAAATTAAAGATGTGACCTTAATACAAATGAGCTCCTTAGCTAGAAGAGTAGGTTTAGCTCTGCTAGATAAAATAAGTTTCATGTTATAAACAAGAAATTAGCAAAGCTAAGATAGGATAAAGCAGTAATCTACTTAACCAAGTTCAATGATAAAGAAAATATTGGTAAGGAAAATTAAGAATCAGAGTACTTCTCCAGATTCTGCTTGTCCATATACCTAATCTTCATCTGCTCTCAATAATTAATATGATGAGTAGAATATGCCTCATTAAATACAAAATACGTAACAAATTTTGCAGCCAAACAAAGAGTAATCCATAATTCAATAGAAATCTAAATCGACAGAAGTAAAACCCCAGAAACCCTAATTTCCATCAAGCAACTAATACATAATGAATGATACATCAAGAAATAATTCTGTTTAGTGTCTCTAAAGATAGGATGCATAATCCCAATAGCCAGGAAATAAATTTTATAACTTTCAAAAAAGTATATAATAAAAAATTGATAATTACAGAGCACAGAAATTGCAATAAAGAAATTCTACTTCATAACAAATTGCTAGTTAGAGCTACACTCCCTAACATGAAGATTTTTATTATGAGTGGTCTAATTATTAAGCCAATTTATCCAAGGAATCAAATTAAATATTAGAAAGAAAGCCAAGTATTCAAAGAGACACATCATTAAGACTTGATGGCTTTGAACAAGTGTTTTATAAATTGGCAAAAACTCCTCAAAATCAAAATTTTCATGATTCCAGAAGTAATGATATGACAAGAGATAGTCAGTTTAGTTACTCGCCAGCTAATAGCAAAACAAACCTATCAAAGAAAAACAAGTTCAGCTTTGATAACTCATCTGATCAAGATTTTCAAAGTGAGTAATTTCAAGATAAGTCTGATTCTGTATTCATATAATAATGTTCTGCATAAAACATTAATGAATAATAAAAACAATGGATCAAGGATAAGATAAGGACAATGACAGAGAAAGTTACTATTTAAAAGAGGTTTAAAAATAAATTCATTGTCCATAATAAAATCAAGCATACTCTTCAAAAGATAATACGCGAGAAGTCTTAAGATAAAAACACTTTTCAACCTGAGTCATAATCAAATGAAATAAAAAAGTAATAGATATTTCATAATTTGAAGTATAACAAGATGCTTCCACCAATAGTGAAAAAGAATTTTTAATCATTTAAAATCCCAGATCCAAAGAAAAGTATACAGCTAAGAAATCTATAAGCAAGTATCAGTGATATGTAGCTTAGTAGAACATAACTTTTACAAAACGATCATCTTAAATTTTAAGAGTAGACAACAAAACACAATAATAACAAGCTCAATACTAAGATAATATAGATGATGCAAGGGCTTCCGTAAAAAACCCAATATAATACCTAAGTACATTAAGGAAAAGTTGAGCCTCTTTTCTGCTGATTCTCAATTGAAAATAAATTCATCTTAATTAAGTATAGATATTACTGATATTCCTTTCCTATTTTATTGGCATTTGTTTCAATTTGTCTAATAATTGAGTAGGAAGCTAATGGATGAAAATCTCATTTTTTATATATTGGTATTAATTTACATTAATTTCATAATATACTTTCCATTTTATTTTTAAATATACCATAGCAATGGGGTTTTGGGGTTTTGGGGAGATCGGAAGAGCACACGTCTGAA